AATAATAATAATAATATTAATAATAATATTAATAATAAGCTTGTTTTGACTGATTTTAACTTTTCGGTAGTTTTGTCTGATTTATTTTATTTTATTAATTTTAATGAAAATTTACAGAGATTTTGGATTTTCATTTTTAACTTTATTTCAGAATTAATTGCCAATTCTACCTAACTGAAGGGTCTTAAAATTAAAAAAAAAAACCAACCAAACCACAATTGAATTCCGCTTTCCCATATGTAACTCCACAACAATGGGACAATTAGTGAGTATATGCAAAATGAGTGGAGGTTAACTACTCCACGGCTATTGAAAGATTGGCCATTCAAATAGATCAGATTCTCCATAGGAGACATGGCAGTGTGATTCCATAAAGGTTTACAGCTGCAAACTCTGTGCTGTCTCTCTAGTCTATCCTGCGAGTCATTGTAACTTGGAACTGAGTTAACAACATTTGATCATGTTAGTATATGGAAAACATGAGATCATTTCACATTCAGCTCAATCTTTCTCAAAGCATGACACGATCTTTCACAAATATACTCCTCTTGAATTATATTTAAATGTAAAAATATCCTTCATTCTCTTCATAAACATGTTTGTGATTAGCTGATCCAGTTGGTGGTGTACCAGTTACCCTGTACATCTTCTCTCCTTCCGTTGCATCAAAAATGACAACTTTCATAACAAGGTAAACTTTCCTGGATAACTTTCTAACAATCCTCATTTTGATAAAAATACTTCCTGTTTGGAAATCCGAACCAAGTCATAGCTGACACTACAGCAGTTTTTTTTTTCTGAAGCTGTAAATCATAAAGGAACATACTGCTTCAGCCTACTATTTACTCAGAAATACAATATGCTTCATCTGACATACTTTGGACATGTTGCAAGGAGGGACCACCCTTGGAGAGGGACCTCATGGGAGGGTAGAGGGACAGCGCAAAAGAAGAAGACCCAGGATGAGATGGATTGATTCAGTGACTGGGGTAATGGGAGTAGTTGTGTTAGAGACAATGAGGTTGGCACGGGATAAAGCAGGGTTCAGGGCTGTTGTACATAAGGTCACTATGAGTTACAAGCAACTTGATGGCACATAACAATAACAACAACTTTATAAGACCAACAATATCAACAGATTAATTATAGATTGTTTCTTAAGCAGTTTTAGAATTAATTCTGTTAAATGTGGAGTTTTTATATATTTATTATTTTCTCACCCATTTATTGGTGGGGCTCCCAGTTTAAGCCAGGTTTGGAAGCTGGAATGGCATCCACTTCCTAAACAACATGCCTCTGGACATTCTACGAACTTTGAGAAACGACGATAGTTATAGAAAGG